CCGCACCCTTTCATAGCACAATAACACGCCATCACACAATGAAGCCTACTCAAAAAAAGGCTCCCATGGAATGGGAGAAAGAGGCGCGAGGAAAACGGCAGCAGGAATGAGAAACTAGTCGCCATTTCTCTGTATCTGAGCTTACGTCGAGACTTTTTTTTTCAAAATAAGTAAATTGTACCGGATGTAACTGTGAATACGCAGCAGTACGCAGCGGGTTTGCGTACTCTTTACACCCCTACAGAGCCATGGCCCATGCGGCCATATTGAGTATGCCATCCCGCAACACTTCTGCGTATTCACAGTTATAGACACCCGCTACTAGTGCCTTTGCCGAGAACATTTTGCATTAAATCGAATACCATTTTGCACTTTATTTCTGCACACTTTGTACTCGTAAAGAATGGTGAAAGAATGAATAGAAGTACCTACGAATTTAGAGGCAAGCCCAGCACTTTTAGTTCCGGAGCAGAACGCGTAAGGGATCATCCATAAAGTACGTCGGTCATTCGCCGTTACGGACCTACTTAGTTCAGCCCTTGCAAGCTCTCATGGCGCCTGGTAGGTAGGCAACCGAGGGGTGGATAACTCCTGAATTAGGTGTACAAATTTCAAGAATTGAATTTGAATTAGCTTGAATTGGCTTGAATTGAATTTGAATTGGACTGAATTGGTTGAATTGGTTTTGAATTAGTTTGAATTATTGCGATTTTATGTTACTGAATTAGCGTGAATTGGCTTGAATTGACTTGAATTGACTGAACATTGTCTTGAATTGGACGGAATTAGTTGAATTTGTTTTGAATTTGTTTGAATTAAATTGAATTAGTCTGAATTAGTTTGAATTGGGCAGAATTAGGGGTGTACACTTGGCAGGGAAGTTATCCACCCCTCGTAGGCAACATCCCCCCTGCGTTGCATCTGTGTATTGCGGGGTGGCCTACCCTGAATCTTGCAGGCGCTGAGGTTCTGTAATTTCCTTAAGAATCTCTCCCTGGCCTTGGTACTAAGCTAGAGGACACTAAATCAAATCATCAACCATAACAACAGCCAATCACCTCTTCATCAACGCTTCACCCCATACCTTCTCACTCGTTAAAAATAATTAAATACTGTAAGGCTTACGGGCAACAGCACACCATCCCATGTAAATCCAAATGTCACAATTTGACGTCAATAAAGCCATTTTAAAAACTGTAACTGCCTAAGTATCTGAGGAAAACGGAAGTTCTTTCTGGATGATCCCCAAGCAAAAGTTCTGCCAGGTGACAAAGGTCGTCTTATGCTGATCCACTTTCTCGGATCGTAAATACTGATCAAGACGCCCCCGCCTACCTCTGTGATGTTTGTTTCATCTGAGCAGTTTAACCGAGTTTAAACGCGGTCGTTACTTCTTGCTGCCTCCGCACGACCCCACGCCGCCCCGCGCTCTCCTCTGTCGTTCGCGCTTTTTGCTCCCGAGTTCTCCTGTCCTGTCGCTCGCAAGGTCACCTGTGTTGCCCGGTGCGACGCGGCGCGGCGGCGGGAGGGGCGGCCCGGCTGGATCGGCAGAGCGGTGGGAACATGGTGGGC